ACAGGAACGAAGAAACAATGAAGATTGTAAGAGACAGCTGAATGATGTGCAAATAATGTATTTGATGTATGATCTTCGTATTTTACTACACTACTATTTGATTGTGCGTCAATCAATAAATTGGGCTGCCCCACCTAAAATCTTCGTTCCCTACATTTATTGTCACTGTCAAAGGAGAGGTGAAAAAGGTGAAGTCAGGCGGACGTCGTAGTAAAGCCAAAAGAGGAGGCGCTAGTTGGGCAGGGAATTGACGTCGAGTGGAGTGTTCTGACGGGGCGGCGTTGGCTGTAGCAGTTGACGGGGAACAGTGGCACGTCAGGTCGCTGGACAGACGTCAGATGTAGGTGGCCTGGAGGGTCGACATTGCTGTGAAGGTCAGCGCGCCAGAGGGTTCGACATTTCGGTGGGAGGCATAGCACAAACTAAGATAAAGAAGGAAGGGACACGGGGAGCAGGACGATCGGAAGGGTGACTTTTGTTTAAGTGTGGGGACTAGTATGATGTAAGTTACTCATACTTATCAGTAGTATGTAACACCTATTGGAAGTGGAATGCATACCAGCCGAAGATTGAGAAGATTTAATTGAAGAGAACAGAAAGGAAAGCAGAGAGTAATTGTAATCACAAGAGTTAAAAGAATGATGAAGTATCTAAAAGGCAACTGATTGGCAAATTATATATTCAATGTATGGTTTCCATATTTTACGAAAGGACCCTATAACTTTGCACCAAACAATAAACTGGTTATTCCCACCTGGATTCTTCATTGACTACAATACTATTAAGTGTGCTAGGAGGATTCGGAGTTTCAATGTTCTGACTGTAGTCTTCTACAAAGATAATGCCTAATGTGGTAAAATAACCAGGAAGGAATGGGTTATGCTGCTATTATTATGGATTCCCATCTTCAGTATGGAATATGGGGATAAGCTGATTCTGTTTCCCGAATAATAACAATACGTTTTCTCGAAACATTCTCTATGTGATCAATTACTACTCCATCTTACAATTTTGTCATGGTACAGCAAGATGGATGTTACGATAAAAATATATGGCTAAGATTTGATTAGAAATAATAATGGGTGGAATATTTCAACACCTGATTTGATACTAAAGTATTCTATGTTTCTGTTAATATTAGAGTTATTATAGAGATTTGCATATTGCAGTGTGTATAACATTTATCATAACTAAAATATCACTACAAAGGATATACTTTATATCTTAGATAGCTGAAAGTAACCGATGGAGCATGCATGTTTTCACTAGTCTGGCAACTAGGTTCGGCGAGGTCCTTTGATAGGATTTAGTCATATGTAATGAATAAGAATAATTACTTAAATTAATACAAAGTAATTTTTTAGTTTAATCCTAATGATTTTCTTTGTAGTGTAAAGTGTATTTTTATCATTATTTCTTCTACAGGCTCTTTTCCATGTACAAGGTAATCAATTGTCAAGTGAACACATATTAACTCCATTAGAGTCAATGCAAATGACAGCAGTTACAATCGGACGGCGATCACATATAGCGAGTCATCAACAGAATAATAATTCTGACAGCAATCAAAATGATGTCCATTGTGAAACATTATGGAACCGTTGTAATTCAACAAATAATAAATGTCCAACAGAAGAAATGACTACTGATAAGAAAATTGGAACTATTGAGAATTCACTTCTTGAAGGGTATTCAACCCGTAATGTCACGGGCGAGAAAATTAATCATGAAAATCTAACCTAGCCTTTAGAGTACAAAAGTACCTAATACATACGCATCATCATGTGTATCTGGAGTCCAAATTCAAATGAGTCACATTTAATTTGACTGCTTCAAGCCAATCATAAAAGAGATCAATAAAATATGATTAGTATTTAGTTCTTTCTTCAGTATTGTGTTGTTAGATAACAATTAACTCATATTATAACAGTCTAATTAGAGCCTCTATCCAAACCAAACTACTTAAGTATCATTTGTAATTTATTTGTCTTCCTTTGTTTTCATATATTTTATTTTATGTTCATTACCATGGGATAGAACATATTTTACTTGAGTTACTGAAGAGGTTATTAAGTTGACTCATATATACGGTACTAAATTTATTAGTGCTGTACATGTCTCCATTACAATTAAAATAAATAATTATAAAAATAGACATGAAACTATTTTTTAATGTTCTATTGTTCTCATCCCTTGTCAGTTAATCAGATTTTAATTTTTATTATAGAAAATTAAGATAACAATCAATCGGTTAGCGTCTATCATTACTGTCAAACTCCTTAGAAAATATATCATTTAAATTTAATAACTGATTGTTCTAACTAACCGTTCATCTTTTTGGGGTCGCTTTATTGAATATCAGATTAATTCAACCTGATTCTAAACGATTTTGATCCCAGTTTGTTCTCCGCATGTCTTAAATCGATCCAATTGTGTGCTTGAATTCTCAAGATTAGGCGATACCGAAAACGTTTTGAAATATTTCGAGAATGGACATATTTCAAACAGTGTCGTCAGCAGCCTATGAAGTAAATTGCAAAAGAGCCGGAACCTGTGTGCATTGAATTGTATGATGTGCGGATCGATGAAGCGATTAATTATTGAAGTGAGTGGATTGATTAAGAGACATATCGTAGTGTTATATAGGTTGATTTAGCAATCAATCTTATGATGTGTAAATCAATCGCTGTATATATTGATGAGGGGAGTAATATAATCTCAAGTAGCTATTGATACAAGATAGAGATTCACGCATGAAAATTGTGCATAGATAGAAACCTATAATTAATTACGTGAAAAAAACACTTAATAGGAAATAATGGTCTTTGAACATGTACCAAAATAGTTGCAAAACAAATCGAATTACCCAATACGAGTAGACAATAAACATCCATCGTCCTCTGTTGCTAAACACGTATTTGAACAAGCCAAAAGATTTTAATTCATATAAATTGGCTGTTTGGAGCTTCCTAGTGATGTTTAGGGCTGCATATGATCAGTCTCTTTTGGCATACGTGAATCCTGTGCCGATCGCATCGATATTACCGGTAAGTCAAAATCATTTTTTAAGCATTCTATTTGTCTAAATCAACTTTTGATTTTTTATAAATAAATATTCTTAACAAGTACACGTGTAATCAGATAATAATTCTGATAACCTTCGTCTTCTTATTACACTATCCACAATTGAATGTCACATAAGCGTTGTCTTATACCTGTTCGAACAAGTATTGACTTGCATAGGTTTCTGTTCTAAGCGAATATAAGGCTGCTACAACTTTCAGTTTATAATTAATTATCTAAGAAGCAATTTATATCACCGTTAAAATACGGAATTTGTACAAAACTATATATTGTATTCGTTAATATTCTTTCTTATGAGATGTGAAAGTGACCAGAGATAATAAAAATATTCTTACTGGGCTGAAATAGTCATAAAACAGTTCTCAGCTGTGTCAAATTCATTTGATGTTGTAGATTATTTTTAAAATATGCCTCGTTTTCTGCGTCTTCTGGCATATGTTAATACAACTGATAAATGAACATTATTATTGGTATGGTGGACTTGTGGAGGTCGTAGTATTCTCACAAATGAAATCACGAGTCGATCTAAGATGGACCACCATTAATAACCTTGAAGCACTAGACAGCTGTTTCAAGTTGTGTGTGTTAGGTTGTGCACCTCTAAAGAGTCTTATATTAGGACAAAACGACTGTACAGTGTTCCCAATGGGGGTCTAGATTGGATTGACTCGTGATTTCAGCTGTGGAAATGAACATTATGACTGAAATACCTCACTCATTCACATTTGTCTCTGTTGCAGTTTGAAATTTTTATTAAAGAACCACAGAATGTGATTCATTTTACGCACCCCTATAGTATTTGATGTTTCTATTCATACGATCGGAAAAAGTAGGTCTGAAGAAAAGTCTATGAGGACAACTTAATTTCAGTTTACAAGTTTATTGAATGCTAATAAGTGAAAAAGTAAGTCATCAGGCTTTTAACTGTTGGGCTGTAATTGTGAAAAATGCAACTATCTGGATCATTTTCTAGAGTATTTGAAGCTTCCACACACAAATACTGCGGAATCAAATTTGTAGATGGTGCTGAAGTATGTCATGAGATAATTATGGAGCTTTAAAGTGAGGGAATATTACAAGCTATTCTGTATACATAGAGAATCTCTTAGTTTATCCGTTACTAGGTTCTTGTTTGCTAACCTACATTACTTGTAGCGTGAGATGTCCATCCTTCGATCAATGGGTGTTTTACAACAGTTGGCTCTTAATTACTTTATGGCTATGCAACATGGCCTTTAAAAACAAAAGATTAGGGGTTTTGACCATAGGTATCTCCGAAGCATTGGTCACATATAGTGGAACGACCCAGTGAGCGATACCGGGGTTAGGTACAGGACACTAGGCAAATACAGAAAGTCGGTTCAGGATTTTTATCGGCTGTGGCTAGGATACGCATTATTTATCCTCAAGTAGTGTCTACATTGACGGGTAGCGTTGAGTGATGCAAGTTGGAAGAAAGCTAAGTCCGTCTGAGTCAAGATGTAACATTGGTTCACGAAGCAACTGATTGCTCGTCAAGCCATTTGAATAGATGAAGATTACCTGGTTGGAGTCTGCGTGATAACTGTTCGGAGACTTTGAGTGACATGTCTAGGTGGTGCAGATGGTGAACTGCCTATTTTCTTCTAGATCTTGAGTTCAAGTATTCGTTTTTCTATATTCTCAATGCTTAATCCTTTTTATCATCATTGTTACTACATTATCTTGACTCGTTCGCTATTCATTTAGTTAAATTCATACGTTTTGCTGACTTGGTGTAACTAGTGCTTACGAACATTTGCGCTAAGCTCTAGATTGACTCTAACTGAGATTCTATCAATGTGTTACGAAATGCAAAGCTAAAACATATTTGCGCATTATTATTATTATTATTACAAATATTACCCCAAGTCTAAGGACGACAAAAGGACTAATATATAATTTATAATGTATATTACCAATAACGTTAAAAATGTACATGCGAATGGAAAAATAAAATGTTAAAATCTAATTTTAATAAGTGGTGGTCCTTGTGAATCTGAAATACTTTTTCTACCAGTTAAAAATAGAGTTCCTAAGTGATCAACCGACTGTTTCAATGATTGGACTGAATCAGTGGTAACTTTTAGTGGACATCTGCACATGTAAACTAATTCATTCCCACATTGACTTTCTACCAACATTGATCTATAAACGAAAATTTAAATTAATTGTAATAGATATGTAGAAATACAAATTTTATTTAGCAAGTTACAAGAACTCATCCACGCTAAATAACATGAGGATCAATAATCTGAAGAAAATTAGATAATTTTCAGTATGAAACTGTTGAGATAGTTGAATTCTATCGAAATAACGAACCGATCTAAGTTAGACAACCATTGAAAATCTGGAAGTTCTGGACTGCCGTGACCGGTGGATGCGAGGAAGGTATCCATTAAAGTCAATGGAAGATGATCGCGCAATACCGTCAGTTGATTTAAGTTAGATTTGTACACCATTAGTACAATAGGCATTAAACGTTTGGGCATGAAACTGAACGTATTGGTTTCGATTTCTGGTTGTGGGTTGTGAATGGGCAACGCTGAGGAGTTCCATACCACAGCGAAACGACCGTTAAGTACTTATCAAACGTTACCACCAACTATACATATCAATCTACATGTCCGTACAAAACCGTATGCCCCCAAATGCCCTGGTACGGCCGAGAGTGGGGAGAGTCTGCTCTCCCTCTCGAAATGCTCTCATATGGTCACGCGAATATATAGCCTCTGCCAGGGAAGTCCTACTCACTGCCTTCTCGTGGCATTACTGTTGTTTACGAAATTGAGAGGACGAAAAACGAATGTCCGGCGCTTTAACCGGATTGGTGGACACGGCGAGTTCACCTAGGGGAGTTGGAAAACCCTGATTCCAAAACAATGGTGCACATGGGCTCCAGGATCCTGATGGAACGAATGGCGTATGAACCTATTGTTGGTCACCGGCTACCATGGGACTGGATCTCATTACGATGCTCCACTGCCTTGTGGACTAGACCTTCAGGTCAAAGGCTCGGGGTGTGGCCCCCTAAGAAAACCACCTGCTTCAGTCTGGGCACCTGGGCAGTATCACAACCCTCACACAAATCGAATGAGATTTGTGAGGCGCATATGTATTTGGTGTTTCCTTGTACCAATATTTATGTGTTCAAATAAATAAAACAAAACCGTATACATTGGAAAGACAGGCATCTAAATGGTTTACTGACTATATTCCAAAGAATCTGCATCTCAAATTTATTTATTTATTTAAACATATATATATATATATTGGTACAAAAGGGCACCAGATACATATGCGCCACACAAAATAATGAAAGTAGGAAGAGAAGGGATGAAAAGATAAGGCGGACTGAAATGTACAACCAGAAGACTCTTTCAGTTAAGAAAGTTAGAACCACTCTTTATGTAGAAAGTAAAAGAAGGTTGCAGCAGGATCGCCATTGGCTTCTATTCTGAGCCATATCCGATAACGTCTCTAGCCACTGTGTTGCACCATCTCTCGGACCCCAGCCAGGGAGTCGTGAAGGACCAACAGAAGCTAGCCCTTTGCAGCTTTCTTTCATGCCACGACACCATGTCATACACTGTCCTCCTCTCCGCTTTTTCCAACCAGTCCCAGAGTCGGCAAATAATGCACGACGTGGAAGTCTCTGGGACGACATTCGTAAAACATGTCCAAGCCACCGAAGTCGGTGTTTCAAGATGGTGACACACGATGCCGAACCTCTGCATTATTAACATGGTGTTTCCACTGTATGTCAGCAATCCTTCGGAGACAACGATGATCGAACACAGACAGACGTCTAACATCCTCAACTCGGAGAGGCCAGGTTTCACAAGCATAGAGCAAAACTGCTCTCACCGACGCGTTGTAGATCCGACCTTTTACAGCCAGACTAACATCATGAAGGCGAAAAAGATGGCCCAGATTGGCATAAGCCGCTCTGGCTTTCTTTATACGTGCATCAATCTCATCACTCACGCCACCACCAGCACTTATATAGCTACCTAGATACACGAACTTCTCAACTACTTCAGTCTGCTCACCATCCAGGGTGAGTACAGGATGAGAATCCTATCAGTCTTGTAGAAGCACTTTGCACTTCACAGGTGCAAAGCACATGCCGTACCTGCGGACACTGATTGCCAACTGATTAAGTGCGCATTGCATGCCTTGGGCATTATCGCACAGTAAGACAATATCATCCGCATACTCGAGGTCGAGAAGTCGTTCTCCAGGCAACATATCCACACCGCCATTACTTACATCCATCAGAGCTGTTTCCAGGATGTCGCCGATGGCAAAGTTGAAGAGGAATGGTGAGATCGGGCAAACCATGTCTAACCCCACTACTCGAATGGAACAAGGGAGAAAGGTGGTTGTATGCCCTCACTCTGCCTGCATCTCAAAAGCCATGGCAGTAGTAAAGACTCAAATGCGTATGACCTTCTGGATGCAAGTTAGGTATAGTTTGAATCTTCACTATTTGTGTTTGCAGAGACCATGATAATCAGGAAACTAAAATATATTTGTATTTACAGTTGTTGCTTAGACTTTAAGTAGCTTGACAATACAAATGAACAAAGAGAGTATTTTCTTCATACTGATTATAAATTGGTGTTGAACTCAAAGTTCTAACATGTTTTGTTACGTAGTACAATAAAATCACATTATTTTTAACCTCAAGAAAATTATTTTGATTCAAACTAAATTTCGCCTCCAGAACAAATTAATGTTCCATAACTTATAATTCACTTCCTAAATCCTAAGTATATGGATGAAAACGTTACGATAATGATAGCCATACTTTATTTTATCCTCCAGTTCATCGTAACAACAATCCAGAAATAGACCTGATAGATATATAATCTTTAATTTTTCCAGCTTATAGACAGGTAATATAATTTCATCCACAGTTTGTGCATAAATTGGTGACAGACTTGCATTGGTTATGCATGGATTATAACTAGAAAAAGAAATTATAAATGGAAGAAAATAATTTACAATTAACATATTTAGTGTGAATAAATTGGTAGTGATTTTAATTTTGGAACATTGAAATACTAATTGAAACACGAAAGGTAATCACTAAAGTCGGAGTTGTAGGACAATGATGTCGGAGGTTGGGTACTTTTCAGAGGTGACTACGGCAAATTCAACTCTTCAGAGGGCTCACAGTAGAAGTAACGTCTTCATAGTAGTCGGAATCTTATGGAGTCAGCTGCGGTCCGAATAGCACAGCAGTAACCCAATTGGCCGTATTAGAGCCTGACACAAGTTTGAGTTTCACAAGGAGTACCAGATCCCTAAATATTGCACTGAACCTAGATTCGAGGTAATCCATTGATTTCCTCCAATCACTGGGGAAACTGTGGTCTCGCTGGTAGGCCATACGATTGTTAAGATGGGCCACATGAATTGAAATATAATAACGAAGGCGACTGGTGTGTGTGTGTACTAACGGATAATTATTTGCGTCCCAACGTTCGTAAAATTTAGAGCTTGCAGTTAAGTCTCTTTATACGTGGAACACATAGACTACGCTTTTGCTGTTATAATTATTCAATTGAAGCTTTTCTTAGCGTTTCTAAAATTTTCAAAACATTTAATGATAATTTCTTACCTTGGAACACAATTTGAAACGGCTGAGTCAGGAAATGAAATTCCAGCCGCTAAATGAGATAAAACTGTTAATCCTAAGCGAATATTTACAATATTTAAAAAATCTGACGTTTCGTCTGTTTCTGTGCATGTGCTCGATTTCTCTTCTTGTTTTAAAGGCAGTTTGTCCCATGAAATTAGTTCCGGTATTAGTATAGGTGATCCAGTGTAGTTAAAGACCTCACATTGCGGTTGGATCTTTATTGGGAAAAAATAATAACAAAGAAAAGATGCAGATCACAACAACATTCTTTCGGCTTTTTCTCTTTTCCTCACCAAAACAATGCAACTTGATACAGAATTTATGATGATTTAATAGTCTAACCTTTGTGTCTTAGGGTTATCTTATAGTCGAAATAATAAAATATCTTTTTTGAATGAATTTATTAAAGTTAATTAAATATTAGTGCATGAAACCAGTCAATTAGCTTTCAGAAGATAGTTATCGATCATTAAATTATAGTTGAATAGTAATCCTGGAAAACCAAAACAGTGACTGGCACTCATGATTTTGAATGGAGTGTGCATTAAATAAAGTAAAAAGTGATATTTGTAAGACGTGATGTAATTTTTGACAAACACTTGGAGTTAACCAGTTATGAACATCGTGGGACTGGACACAAGAGTGAATTCTTAAAAAAAACTACCAAGCAAGTAAGTATTCATAGATATGGCGAGAAAAAAAACACAGCAACAAAAGTACTTAGATTTCTCAGCATCAGAAAAATCAAAGACTTAAAATCGTTTACGAAACAACTGTTTTGAGACGGCAAAATGCATACATTTAGCCTGGAGGGCTAAACTTATTTATTTGAACACATAAATATTGGTACAAGGAAACACCAAATACATATGCGCCATACAAATCTCATTCGATTTGTGTGAGGGTTGTGATACTGCCCAGGTGCCCAGACTGAAGCAGGTGGTTTTCTTAGGGGGCCACACCCCGAGCCTTTGACCTGAAGGTCTAGTCCACAAGGCAGTGGAGCATCGTAATGAGATCCAGTCCCATGGTAGCCGGTGACCAACAATAGGTTCATACGCCATTCGTTCCATCAGGATCCTGGAGCCCATGTGCACCATTGTTTTGGAATCAGGGTTTTCCAACTCCCCTAGGTGAACTCGCCGTGTCCACCAATCCGGTTAAAGCGCCGGACATTCGTTTTTCGTCCTCTCAATTTCGTAAACAACAGTAATGCCACGAGAAGGCAGTGAGTAGGACTTCCCTGGCAGAGGCTATATATTCGCGTGACCATATGAGAGCATTTCGAGAGGGAGAGCAGACTCTCCCCACTCTCGGTCGTACCAGGGCATTTGGGGGAGAGGGCTAAACACTGATTAAGAAATATTACTATGAATGAAATACTGACTACAGAGTGTATATAATGAAATAAAAGTAGAGGATCTATTGTAGAAAGTTTACGTTGTAACATAATTCGGTATGAAGCTATCAACTAACAGTAATTATTTAGTTTTCTAGATCATAAACATCAGTCAGTCAGTCAGTCACAACGTAGAACTTCGTACGTACGTACATCAGTTCGAGTTGCCATACCACATTAGCACAGAGATGCAGTTGTCCATTCAAATCCCATAGTGGTAGAAGTAGTAGGAGTATAATCAGAAATCCAAAAGATTAGGGTTTGAAGAAATTATTGAAGGAGTATAGTACAGTGAAATAAATTTGGAAAGAGAAAAAGATAAAGACATGAGGAATTCAGAAGATTAGAATTTGGTAGAACACAAAGAGTGGATGCACCTTCGCCATTGCAAACGATTTTGAGCCATGTCATTCAAGGTCTCTAACCATCGGTTGCTGTCATCTCGCGAATCCCAACCAGGTACTCTACACCTACCAACATGGCCCAGTCCACTTGTCAGTAACTTCATTGATTTGTGCCACGTTTTGGTCTGGCCACCCCTAGCTTTCTTCCAACCTACTCCTACACCATGAAACATTGCACGTCGGGACAGTCGAGCCTTCTGTATCCGTGCTGAGATTTCGTCACATACCAGACCACAAGGGCTGATGAGACTCCCAAGATAAGTGAAGTGGTCTACACGCTCAACTACTTCACTCCCTATCATTAGTTCAGGTGTCGATGCAACCCAATCCTGAAGTAACATTTTGCACTTCGAGGGAGAGAATCGCATTCCGAACATGCCTGCATAGTTGCTTATAGTGGTCAGAAGACTCTGCATGTTGTCAGCGTCTTCACCGAGTAAAACTATGTCGTCGGCGTATTCTAAGTCAACAAGTGAATCTCCCGGTAAAAGTTCAACTCCTGGAGGTTTAGCTGATGAAAGTGCTATCTCTAAAAGTATGTCAATGACAAAGTTAAACAAGAATGGGGAGAGTGGACAGCCCTGACGAACGCCACTTGTGGTAATCAGTTCTGATGACAGTTCGCCATAGGCTCCAACTCGACCAGTTGTGTTCGAGTAGAGAGCCTTTATGAGGTTAATGTACTTCTTTGGTGCTCCTTTCAGTGACAAACACTGCCACAGAACCTCACGATCAACGGAGTCAATTGCCGCCTTAAGGTCAAGAAATACTACTATTGTGGGACGTCTGAATTTGTGTCTATGTTCTAGGACCTGACGTAGGGTGAATATCTGGTCTGTGCAACCACGTCCAAGTCGAAAACCAGCCTGGTTTTCTCTAGTCTGCTCTTCACGAGCTTTGGTTGGGCGACCTAGTATTATTGAAGCTAATATTTTAGACACTATATTAGTCAAACTGATTCCTCTGTGATTGTCACAGGAGGACTTTTGTCCTTTCTTATAGACTGGCACAATCAGTGATTGGGACCAGTCAGATGGAATTACGTCCAGTTCCCAGATTCTACCTAGGACCTCAGTCAATCTCACTGCTAGTACTGGACCACCATCCTTAAAAATCTCAGGGGTCAACCTGTCAGGGCCTGCTGCTCTCCCTCGCTTCAGATTTCCTATAGCTTTTTCAACCTCACAGAGGGTTTGAGGGCTTACATCAATTTGCCATTCAGGACGACTGGGGATCGTGGGTAATTGAAGTGTGGCTGAAGGCCAGTTGAACTGATCCCTAAAGTGTTCTGCCCATCGATCCAATCTCCTGGATTGAGAATAATAATATGCCCATCTTTATCTGAGATGGTTTCACTGATATTCGGGTTCCTAATACCGGTTTCTTTAACGAGTCTGAATAGCTGCCTACTGTTACCTATTGCCGCTGCCTTTTGCATCTCTTTCGCTTTCGCTACCCACCACTGTTCACGATCATTGCGTAGGCTTCTTATTAGCCTGTGCTTAAGTTGACTCCGCTCTTCGTTCTGTTCAGAGCCAGGTGGGATGAGTTTACGAGCATCTATCAGTGCGGTAGATGCTGCCGAGATCCATTGTTTCTCCCTAACGTTATGGTTTACCTTACTAGCGGATATCACTGCTGTTTCCACAGCTTTTCGGATGTCATTCCACGCTGCCTCGGGGTGGACACAACTTACATGGCTGCCTAACTGTTTTTCTAGTTGTTCCTGAAATATATTCTTAGCTTGCCTATCATTAAGTAGAACCCTTAGAGGCTTCCTTGCAGTGTCTTTCCTACGACCAGTAAGACGCAGACAGATACGTGCTCACACTAAAGCATGATCTGAGTCTAAACATGTGCCCCAGAATGAGCGACAGTCTTCTATCGAGCCCCTCCATCGGTGGCTGATAGCGATGTGATCTAATTGGGTCCAACGTTGGGACGAATTCGGGGGTCGCCATGTCAAAAGATGTTTTTCCTTATGCTTAAAGTTAGTATTTGCAAGAAATAGGCGGTTATCTGAGCATAGCTGCAACAGACGGTCGCCATTATCTGTTCTTTTCGCCATGACACCATAAAATCCACCCAGGTGTCTTTCCCTTTCACTTAGTTTACCTACTTGAGCATTAAAGTCACCTGCTACTATTACTACCTCAGAACGCCTAGCTTCTCGGAGAAGGTCAGAAAGTTTCCTGTAGAACTCATCTTTTATATCGTCTGAGCTGCAGTCAGTGGGAGAGTAGGCAGAGACGACGAAGAGGCAACGACGAGTTTCCCTATCTTTCCGCGTCCTTACTGATCAGTTTAGTCGGACAGCGCATAGACGACTGTCTACTGGGATCCAGTCTAAAAGAGCTAGTTCTGCCCTAGGACTTAATGCTATACCTACTCCAGCGAGGCCACGGGAAGCAGCATCAGGGCTTCCAGATACACGGAGCGTGTATCGAGACGAAGCTTTATTTTGAATAGGTGAGGTCAAATGAATGACACTACTCGGATCTTGTATGCGCGTTTCAGAGACGCAGCACACATCGATGGTGTAAGATTCTAGAGTCCTAGCTAAGGAAGCCTGTTGTCCTATTTGGCACAATGTTCGGACATTAAAAGTTCCTACATGTAGTTTAGAGAGTGGTTTCAGGAGACCAGGAATAACGTTCTGTGTACTCGAATCGTTTTCCCTAGCGGTGCGAGGTGGTAAAAGGAGATAACAGAGTTATTAGGTGTAGAAAGGATTTGAAAGCGACCAACTTGGTCTCGTGTGCAGTTAAGGGTATGAGGGCTAGTATCACTTCCCGGCTGCCCACACCGTGGAAGGGTATTTCTTGAGGGACCTGAAAAAGAAGTTGGATTAGTATTGGTCTTAACGACCTGGGAGCGTGACCGCAGTGCCCAAGGGACAACTGCTTGAGGCCGGTCACGCACGGCCTTTTTGTGGGGGATTTTTGACGTGTTAGCCCCGTTCTTCAAAAGTCCTTACCGCCGGAGACGGAAATCCGTGGGATAAGGCGAGGTGTGCATTTTTAGGGTCGATCTTTTCTAACCCCACCCCTCCTTGTGGGAAGGCAGCATCGCTGTCATGCTGGTTGTCTGAAGGAAACACCTTACTGCTTTCACACCTCTGTACAGTCGGCAGTACGACTTCGCCTTCGGACCTTGGGATTGCTGCTTTTAGTCTCACCGCTCTTCAACCGACCTGTCTGGCATGGTAGGACCTTGAGGAACGATTGTTCCAGCCAGCATAGCTCGATTGGATCATCACGATAGGCAAGCCCGACCACCACGTCAAGGTAGCAGCAACGGTCGGGTGATCATAAACATAGACCTATATGTAGCTGATTATGATTCGGATATACATAAATCAACAGACAGTACTAACATTGTACTAAGCTTCTATAAATATAAACCATTTACAGAACAGAAATGAGTTACAACAATTAAGTATATCTGTCTTGGGATATAGCGTTTTAATCTTAGTGGATCTGTAAGGATTAATTGAAGGAAATCGTTTTACTGATATATAGTAACAACTGAGCAAGATTACAAAAGTATGTTAGCAACATCATTACTATGATTGAATCAGTAAATTATCCAAATGTATTGCGAACACATTTAGTTTGTCTATCATGTTTCTACAACTTCAATGCTGTTTAGTTTGTGTACCCGACTTTCATCCAAGTTTTACGTGAGTGGAAGCTAGAGGTTTCATCGAAATGGAATGATCGGAGTAGTTGGAGAGGAGTTTAATCTTCTAACTGAAAGATTGAAATTCACATCCATTAGTCACAAGTCATCGCTCCACTATTATATAATAATACAAATTGTAACGTACTGAAAGTGCTTAAAGAACTTAGAGATTATGCTAATATAGCCGTATGTAGAATGGAGGATAATGAGAGAAAAAACAGCACCTTATTAATGTTGCAAAAACCATTTCAATACAATCTCCGATTACTTGCGCGTAGGAAAATATCACTGCAAAACATATATTACACGTTAGTCAATACAGACATATTTTCTGGAAATCTATAAGCCTGAAAAGTATAGGGGTAAATAAGGTTTTTCAATGAAGAATTATGAATATACAGTTCCATAAAACGTACCACAATATGTTTATTGTCATTTAGATATGAGGCAATGGATTCACTTTTAGGGGATTCATTTATTTGTATGACTGAAGAATCTGGTAACCAATCTACAAAGAAAGGACCAAGATTTCCAAGGCGTTGAGGGATACGAGTGCCCAATTCTAGGGGGTTAGTGAAAGCCTTGAAAAATGATCGAAGGCGCGTATGTAATGGTCCATTTCGCTGAAATCGTGAACTTTTTAAATCAACTTGAAATCCTGAATAAGAGAATGATAAAAAAGACTAGAAAGTCTGAAAACAGGTTAGTAATAATGTTTGGGTTACGTTTCAGTTATATCTTAGAAAAGTATACGAAGAAAAATACATATTTGATTAAATTAAAACGAGTAAAAGATGATGAACGTGATAACCAAACCTATTATAGACGTGTTAGTTACTTTGAACGCTTTAAAATATTTGGACTATCACTTCTATAATAGGAATACTAAATTTCCTTAACACTAAGGTCAACACTTCCTTTAGTTAGTTTTATTTTGAGAATACAGTGTGTAAACCAGTCAAATTAGATTTTTAGGTACATCTACACTAAATTTCTTGAAAATATGAAGAGCAAAGAAAACTAGTTGACAATATGATAATATATGAAAAAGTTGAACTGAGTTTTAGTTAGCCGAGTAAGTGAACATAAGCCATTTGAGGTTGCTAAGGGCTTATGGATGCCCTAATAACTAATAACTTTAATTTGGGGAATAAAATTGATGAATAATTGAAAAGGAACAGATCAAAATATAATAATAATAATGATGGATAACACTACTGATTACGAGTTTGTGCTACATGGAGATTTTTCATCTTATTTTTCAGATACATAAACATTGGTACAAAGGGGCACCAGAATATATGTGCTCCATACGAAATAGCTATCATTCATTTTGTGTGTGGGCTAAGATATTGTCCGGGTGCCAAAGACAAAACGGGTGGTGTTTTAGGTCACTCTCTGAGCCTTCAACTTAGAGATCTAATCGTCAAGGCAGTGGAACAACCTTGGAAAATGCGGCATATGGTAGCCGATGACCAAGAATAAATTCATGTTACTTGTTCCCCAAAGATTCTGGGGACCGTATGCACCATTGGTTTGGAGTCTGTTAGCGGGAAATAAACCGGATTAAGGCACGTTATGTGCATGATCGTGATTGGCTAATTCTAAACCAATCAGCCCTGGCAAATTATTGGAGAAAAATTTAGAAGCTTCTTATAACTATACTATAAATATATGAACATTTGTCTAACCGTTGATTGCTGCTCACTTACCATTGTTATTTCGAATACAATTTCGTTCCTGTTCAACGTGTTCTGATTTTGGGGTCTTGTCAAGTGTCATCTTATAAGAATACTAAGCAATAGGAGTAGCCGGGTAGTTTATTAACAAATACATTTATAACAGAGTCAAGATTATCTAACTCCCCTAAATGGATCCTCTGTACTCACCAACGCCGTTTAAGTGCTGGGCATCCGCTTTTTGTCTTTTCAATTTCGTAAACAACATCGCCGCGATAAGGCAGTGGTCATATGAAAGTATTTCGAATAAACGGGCTCTTCCCACCCTTGACTGTACCAGGGATTTGATGGACTACTGAGTCAAAAGATGAACGTTTACTTATTTGAACTTGCAGTTTAAAAGAGGTCACTGAGATATTTTAAACACATTGCTTCTATTTTCTGTAGTTATTTGCCTGCTTTTTAAGTGTTGATTCTAATCTGGTGCAGTGTTACATATGATAAACTGATCAGGTACACTGTATCGTTATACTAAATAAAGAAATACATAAAAAACACCGGTTGCATAAATCTAAGTAGAGGGAGTGTGATCGAAATTAGTGAGCTGCAGAAAACTACGAAAAAATTGTAGTTTCTATGAAAATTTATTTAGATAGGCAGAAAAAAATGATGAATTACGTAGTATAACATGAATAGAATTTGTAAGAAACTTCGTCAGTGATGCGAAAAATACGACCAGGAAATAGAGAAAGAACTCACGATAGAAAAATTGTATTTTTTCTTGTTTAACTTTTTTAGCGGATAATCCGAAACCAGAGTACACAACTGGAGACATGTCCAGGGTTAAAATAGCTGGAAAGTATTATAATGAATCACAAAACAAGAGTAATTTGCCTGTATAACAATTGAGTAGAAAAGGTTAGTGTTAGTTTTTTCTTCGATGTTTGAACAATTAAAAACAAAGACTCTGCGAAACATTTTTTTAAAAAGGAAGAATTTAATAAGACTATAGGTTTCGGAATATTATAACTAATGCCAAAATAAACTGAAGTCAAATATACAGTTAATTCTAATAACGTGAAATAGTAATAATAATGACCACTGAAAATCTTACATACATATGTAGCAAACGAGAACACAGGTGGGGATAACCGATTGTATTTAAATACAAAATTACAAAATCTCTTGATAAGGTATGAAAACCATACACTGAATACTTCATTTGGAAATTTCCATCCTTTGTCCATCACATTATGTATGATTCTTCCAGTCCACGATTCCTTTCTATTTTCCCTTCTATTTTCCTCAACTTGATCTTCTTAGCCTTCTGCTGTTAGGTTTTCCACTTTCGAATTTTGTTACAAATGATATATAATAGTAAGTATAAAACTCTTATGTTGCCTACTTTGATACACTTACCCTATCCCATAGCCCTATATATTACCGTGTAACAGTTCTATTTATGTGTTGCTAAATGGATTTTCGGAATTTTAGTAACTACATTTTTAATGTTTTTATACATTATCAACAATCAAGAATATGCATTTATCTAATTGGTTTGCATGTGCACTTGATTTAAGTCATGTTTCATGTACGAATACAAAATAAAATCCGATAAAATGTATTAGCTTTTCGTTACAATTTCGATTACCGTTGGCTTAAAAGATACTCGTGAATCAAGGATAATCGTATTGTACTCAGAGTTAGATACACGCGAAACGCCCAACAACTGTCTAATGAAGAAGGTTGGTAGACAACGGTTTGGAGACAGGCAAAATTACTTGTAGGTTCACGTATTTTGCTTTTGGCTGTTTTTTTTTTACAGTAATACATAGAATCGAGTATAGAACTGTGAACTACATGCTAACATTTAGAGTATACTGACACAACGACTGCAGAAGTTCCTGAAGTCGGACTAAAATCGCTTCATTGATCAGTATACTCAATTTAGAAGCAAATCTTAACATACTGGGAACACTTAATGGATAGCTATAACAAAATAGAGTGAAGAAGTGGTCTGAGTTTTAACAGACTTGACACCTTATACATCCTATTTTGGAGTTGAACTGATGAGTAGTCTTTTATTTATTCCTCTACAATCTTAACCGCTGTCAGATTCTCTTATTATAGCATTGGTGAATGTTCTGTATTTTCGATATTAATGGTGATTTCTTATTAGGAACCTAAAACTTGACTAATTATCGTGCTAAGTAATAATGAGCATTGGAACCTAGAAAGCACATCTCAAAGTATCCGACGCTTATCAATTAAATGGACAAGTATTACGGTAGGGGCTGACTTTTTTTTACTATGACTTGAATCTAGAACCTGTCGTTTACAACGTCATCTTATCTTATAAGCTAATAAATAAACACTCATTTCTTCTTGAAAAATTATTATTTGTCATTGGATTTTTCAGCCTATTGTAAGCGATCTTTCTATAATTTGATTACTATGTAGAGAGCAAATTATACGGAGTTATATATAACTACTTATCAGAAAAAGGTGAAGGTCAGCCAATTAAATAAGAGATAGGAAAAAACTTACATTTTCGAATAGAAAGATTAAACTCTGGTAATGGTTTTATGGGCAGAACTGTAACAGCTCCTGAAATATAACATTAAAGGGATATCACATGATAGTAAAATATCCTTCTGAAGTGAACATAAAACTTGTATCACACAGATAAAACTTCTGGGTTATATAATAAAAAGAAATAGTTTAGCCACAGGAGCAAAGAATATACTGTTAATCTCTTGCCTACTTAGCACATATCAAAACAATTCAAGTAAGAGACTGCTGTATTACGATTAATCGTTTATAACCAACTTTGTTTTATAGTCTCCGTTTACCTACCACATCTTAGTCAGTGGTTGCGCTATTGGTGAAAGCCATAACGCTGAGTCACAAGCCAACAGACACTACTACAATAAAAAGTACTTCTGTAATTATAAATTCGTGCATGGTCATCAAGGAAAACCTCAGTAGCTTTCGTTAAATCTTAGCTTGAGCATTTCAATAACACCGTCTTTTCGCTTTGACAGGCTTTTACTTTACGAGATGATTGAAACTAGTTGCCCGACCGTTTCTGCTACCTTGGCGTGGTGGTCAGGCTTGTTTATCGCAATGAAGCAATTCAGTCATAGTGGCTGGAATAATCGTTCCTCTAGGTCCTAACCATGCCAGGTAGATCGGCTGAAGAGCGGTAAGAATAAAAGCAACACACTCGAGGTTCGAGGGCGAAGTCGTACTGCTAACTGTACAGAGGTGTGACGGCAGTAAGCTGTTTCCTTCAGACAACCAGCATAATAGCGATATTGCCTTCCCATAAGGAGGATGGGGTTAGAAAAGATCGACCCTAAAAATGCACACCCCACCTTATCCCATGGATTTTCATCGCCGGCGGTAAGCTCCCAACAAGTACGCAACTAACACGAAAACTACCGAAAAAGAGTCGTGTGTGATTGACCTCAAACAATTGTCCCTTGGGCACTACGGTCACGCTCTCAGGTCACTAAGACCACCTCTAACCCAGTTTCCTTTTCAAGTACCAAAAGAAGAACCCTTTCACAGTGTGGGCAACAGAGAAGTTATAGACGCCCTCATACTTCTAATAGCACTCAAAATCACTGTATTCATAATCAATTTTCCTATTATTTCTCCTACCTCGACTTTCAACTTCCTCCTCAAGTGTCACCATAGCCAACGATTCCAGTGAGCAAAACTGTCCCAGGTCTCCTGGAACCTCTCTACAAACTACACATTGGAGCCTTCAACGTACGCACCCCATTACAAATCGACCAGCAGGCCTCCTTGGCTAAGACCCTAGAATCTCGTACCACTGATGTATGCTGTGTTCCCGAAACACGCATACAGGATTCTAGTGTAGTCATTCACTTGACCTCAGCTTGCCAAAACGGAGAGCCAACGAGATACACCCTTCGTGTATCTGGCGACCTGATGGCTAGTTCTCATGGACTTGCAGGTGTAGGCATAGCACTGAGTACGAAGGAAGAACAAACACTATGAGAAGGGATCCATGTTAACAGTCGCCTATGTGCTGTTCAGCTAAACGGCTCCGTAAGAGCTTGCAAGGATAGGGACACACGTCGTTTCTGCCTACGCTTTCACTGACTGCAGCCCGGAAGAAGTGAATTTTACAGGAAGCTTTCTGAGCTTCTTCAAAAAATCTAAACACTCAGACATAGTACTCGTAGCGGGTGACTTTAATGCCCAAGTAGGTAGTTTAAAATACACAGGAATACATTAAGGTGGGTATTTTGTTATTCCGGCTGAGAGAACAGATAGTGATGACCGTCTGCTGCATCTGTTCTCATACAATCGTTTATTTTTAGCAAGCTCTAATTTTAAGCATTAGGAGAGACATCGCCTAATATGATGACCTTCTGCATCAAACTAACAATGGACTTTAATAGACCATATTGCACCAGTCATCGTTGGAGAGGCTTGATAGAAGACTGCCACTAGTTCCGGAGTTCATGTTTAGACTCTGATGATGCTCTAATACGAGCATGCATTTGCTTGCGCCTCACTGGAAGCAGAAAAAGTACACTAAGAATACCCATTAGGATTGAACTGAGTGACGAGAAAGTCAAAAGTAGATTCCAGGAACAACTGAGGTCACACTTAGGCAGTTCTGAAAACGGGGCTGACCCAAATGTGGTTTGGAAAGATATACAAGCAGCTGTGGAAACGGCAGCGACATCTATCAGTAATTTGAACCAAAGGGTTTAAAAAAGCCAATGGATTACTTTTAAGTCTATTGCACTGATGGATTCTCGTAAACTCATCCCATCAGGCTCCGAACACGATGAAGTCAGATCTAGGTTAACCAAAAGTCTACGGAACGATCGTGAGCAAAGGCGGGCAACGAAAGTAAAAGAAATGGAAAATGCAGCGGCTGTAGGCAACACCAGACAACTCTTCAGACTAATAAAAGAAACCGGAATTAAGGAGTCAAGTGCAATTGAGACAATTTCGAAACCAAACGATACTCTTATCTGCCCTTAGCCCAGACGTTTACAACAATGGTCGGAATATTATAAGGAGCAGGTCGACTGGCCTTCGGCTACTCTACAGTTATGTACCATTCCTAAACAGTCTGAATGGAACACTGAAGTAGGTCACCCGACTCTAGTTGAAGTTCAAAAGGTTATAGCTAATCTGAAACGAGGAAGGGTAGCTAGTCCAGATGGATTGGCTTCAGAGGTCTTAAAGTATGGTAGTCCAATTTTAGCGAAAGTTTTGGAGTTGGACGTAATCCCATTGGATTGGTCACAATCACTTATTGTCCCAATATACAAGAAGGGGACAAAATCATCCTATGATAACCACAGAGGGATTAGTTAGACTAAAATACTAGCCTCAATAATTATCGGGCGCCTAACAAAGACTCATGAACTGCAAACACGAGAAAATCAGTCTGGCTTCAGACCTGGTCGTGGCTGCATCGACTACATATTCACCATTCATCAGGTTTTAGAATACAGACATGCTCATCAGCGTTCGACGATGATAGTTTTTCTTGACTTCACTTATCTTGGAAGTCTGATTAGCCCTCATGAGTTGGTGTCTGACGAAATCTCTTTATGGATTCACAGAGCTCGTTTGGCTTCTGCCAATTTACGTCACCTATGGCGAAGACGAAATATCCGTCTATCAATTAAGGGGAGAGTATATTGCTCAGCAGTTCGTTCTATTCTTCCTTACGGCTGCGAAACGTGGCCATTGAGTATACTCGTAAGTTACTAGTACTTGACCACTTATGTCTTAGAAATATTGATTGCATCTGCTAAGATCACCGGGCAAGTAATAGTGAGGTTAGACGCGGAATATTAGAGAATGATGGTAAATCAGTTGATGAGGCCGTAAATCCTCACCTGTTGAGATAATTGGGCCACGTGTTATGTATGCCTGAACACCGAATACCATGACGCGCAATACTGACTAGTATTGGAGATGGTTGGAAGAAAGTTAGGAGCGGCCAAACCAAAACGCGGCATCAGTGCTTGAAGTCATTAACTTCAAGTCTGGACCATGCTGGTAGTTGTAGACTACTTGGTTGGGGTCCGCGCGACTATCGTAACCAATGGTTGGAGACTGGGTGACATGGCTCAGAACCGAGCACAATGGCGAAGGTGTATATACTCTTTGTCCTCTAATAAACCGTGAGACTAGAATTGCTTTATATCTTCCTTCTTTCTTGTATTATGTCCTTATACACAATCTTTCCGTTACATATTACTGCTATTGAAGTAACTAATATGAATTTGGTGTTCATCTTGTTGTGCGAATGAGGTGTGGCAACTTGGACCGATGCATATATGTGCCTGGTCCTACGTTGTACCTGACTGACTCAAACTAGTTAGCCTATCTAACTTAGTCTCGTCTGGTAAGCTCATAGTTTTATTAGCAATCATAACGTACAATGCATTCCACAACACAGAACTATGTGGACCATACTTTGACTTTCCATATCTTGTAAGCTGAGAAGAAAAATCGCATTAACTGACGAATATTTTTAATATCACTAATATTATTTCTTTTTAGATTCAACATACCTCGTCGACAAAATCCTGCAATAAACTGTTCCTCCATGAGTTTGGCAGGATCCAGCTGTATAATAATACTGGAATTTTTAAACTGTTCGAAAACAGTGACCACATTTTTTGCTGTACTTTCATGTTCTGTGATGAAGATAATCTGAAAATATTACATTAGCAACAAAATGGACTGTACATTTTCCAGAAGACGAACCATGTCATGTAAGACCCGATTTCTGACTAAAAATTTGGATGTCATTAGAAAAGCTGATAGAAATGTGAACAGGATTATTAATGATAGTTAACCTAAGATCCTCTACTAGACATAAATGGTATTAGATTTGCTAGTAGACATTCATAAGATATTCAGAGGGTTAAATACTGAGGATACTAACGAATTTTTGTTGAATATAAGGATCAAAGGTCATCGAAACTTCTGAACAACTGTCCGGAGACATGCATCGTGTTTAATAATCTGGTTTTGATAATTTCACACTGGACCTCGATACTTAATAAAAAACTCAAGTATCTGCGACAATCTATCAATACAGATAGTTTGAATTTTCATACCCAAATCCTTCCTGGTGGTTAATCAGTTTTGTATTGACAATATGTATTATAAAACAAATGAACGCCCACCAAATGTTCTTTACTTGCCGGACGGTTTTATTTAGAAGTGAGGGGTGTAATTTATGGTAACACGAAACTAGAGTACAGTGTATATACAACTATACAACATTTTCTGGAAGAAAAAGGCGTAGTATCGTGGATGTTTTCCTGTTTATTAAACGAAGGATGTGCATGCCAAGAGAGCTTTTCAGAATGAAATGACAACTTTACAACCTGTTTTTTACATCTACTTCGAACTATCGACGACGGATTGACTAGTGCTTAGGCGTCAGCATTTTAAACTCAGCTGAACTGGCATATGTATTCTCCAAAAATTGAAACATACTGTTTTCTAAGCAGGGATAATTTTAAGCGCATGTGTATGAGTGCTTTCTGGACGTGGGAAGAATTAAATTTAGTTCATGAAACATTTACTGTAGACCAATGTAAACACTTGGGGTCATAGTATTCAGTTACCTAAACGAAATGAAGCTCAGTGTTAGTTCAAAAAAAAAAATTATATTTTTAGGCACATCATAGCTTCACTGGTTTAGCTCCAGATTTTTGCTGCTAGAACAGAACGCATATGGTCTGTGTATCTTTTTTTAGTAGGCTTTTAAGTGACTAGTCTTTTCTTAAATGAGTCAATTGAAGGGGTGGACACCACTTCTTCGTGTAACAGGTTCCAAGAATCGATGACTTATTGTGCAAACCTCTATTCTACAGTTATCTTGTTTGTTCTTGGCTATTACACTCTAAGTTGTCCTAATCTCGTAGAAAAAAAGATATAGCATGTCAAAAACCACTTCTTAGTGTTCTGTACATCAACATCAGATTACCTCTTAATGTGACAGAACGGAGTAGAGGTCTAGCTTTTCGAGCTACCCTGTGCATGACAAGCTAGACTACTTTACTTTATTTTATTTCAGAAAGAGAGATCTGACTTTCATGTAAAGAATATAAAGAAACCATTTGATTTTGCTCAAATAGGTCTAAATGGTTCACAGAACTTTATTTTAGACAGTAAGATAGCTTGATTATTATCCGGATAAGATTTGCTAGGTAAAATGGGACTTCACCAATCTTAAGCTGGGTACTGTAACACTACTCCCGAGGAGTGACTCATTTAAATCTGGCACGGTAGAAAAGTCAGGTCTTTTCAAAGCCGCCCGTCGTCCTCTTCAACGACCTTGAACGGCCTGACAAGATGCGGTCACTCCGTATTTCAATTGTTGAAGGTCTGTTGAGTGTCCGTTGGGTTGCACGAATATCACGTTTTCTCATATACAAGTGGTCTTTTGCTGGAGCGCAACCACAAAATCATTGAGAAGAACATTGATTTAGCTCTCTCTGCCTTGTAGTGTACACGTTGGACCGATTGTTATTTCTGAACTTCCCAATCTCCCCATCTTGTGGAAAATTCCGTCCGGTTTGGGTAAATTTAAGGGATAATTATGATCGAGGGCGTTCTGTTCTGTTTTTCTAGAAGCAAAAAGAATTGCGAGCAGATGTAACCTAGATCGTGTATAAATTGTGACATACCATTGTTCTTGCCATCATATGCAACTGGCATACATAAGAAGACGAACTCTTACACGTAAGGTTGATCAAATGTGAAATATAAACCGTATAGTTCATAATATTCCTAGACATTGCATTTGATGGAAGAAAGATAACACTTACACCCTTCATAATAACAGCAATTTCACTAACGAGATTAAGCAAACAGTATGTAGATTCGACGAAGCCAATTCTTACTTAAGAATCATCAATAAATAATTGGGACTGCAGTTTCTCTGATGCTTGTCTTTTTGCACTATTTTCTACGATAGAACATATGGACTTGAATACAACAAAGTGTGGAAACGTGACAAGAACTGTCTATTATAAGAAGTTCTTTGTAGTAGTATTTTCAACTTGATTACATATCCAACTTGTAAACTGGTTTCTCTGCATCAAATGTTGCTCTTTCTGTACCAGTAGTATTGATGAACCAATAAACTTTTGTCCCATTTTCATTTTCGTCTTCTTCGTAGTTTCATGGGGAGATATACCGATAATCATAATGGGTAACTGTTTGTAGAAAAATTGAAAAAAACTAATAAGTGTATTTCTTCATAAGTACCTGTTTCGTTTCGAAATTTTGTAGTACTGCATCAATTAAGATGTTTCTCCAGGATGATGCCCTGGGGGACCTCGCTAAGACATTTCATAGCCTGAAAGAGATTGAAGTTAACCCTGACCTTAAAATGTTGACTTTTTGGATATGAAGCGAATCAGTCAATCAGGGTGGGTTGATACCTATTCGTTTAAGCTTATTGATAAGACATATGTGGTTGACCCTATCAAAAGCTTTTGAGAAATCAAGGTAAATGACGTCAACCTTCCCCTTGCGATCAAGGATGGTTGTCCATCTATCCACCGCAGTCAGCAGGTTGGCCATACAAGAATGACCCCTTCTGAAAACATGCTGTTGGGGTGAGAAGTTTAAGGATAATAAGTATTCATGTATACCGTCGTATATTTGAGACTCCATAATTTTGGAAGGTATGGAGAGAAGGGCCACTGGTTGGTAGCTTGAGGGTTCACTGCGTCGACCTCATTTGAAAATTGGTGTGATGTGAGCCAGATTCCAAATTTCCGTCAGTTTTCCTCGGCTTAGTGAGTGTGAAAACATCACGCTAAGTGGTGATGCCAGGATTGAAGCTGCTTCCCTCAGTGTAGCTGAATGGACCATACCATGCAATTTACGGAGAACCAGGTCAGTGCCCAGGTCCACTTCGGAAAGTTCTGTACAGATGCAGATGGAGCTATCATCAGTATAGTTGATGTGGGTCGGCTGAAATGTCTGGGAGTATTGTTCAGCCAAAACATTAGCGGAATCACCGTCGTTATTGGTTGGACCATTAGGACCTAGCAGTTGGGAAACTCCACTTTTGCCTTGTCGAAGAGAAGCTGCGTAACGGAATAAGCTTTTCGGTTTGGAGACAAATTTATCGATAAGCTTGGTCTGGTACTGAAACCAGTCTTCTTTTATTGCCTTTGTGCATATGTTCCTTATATATATGAAATATAGGACAGCGTGATCACTTTTCCCCAGGGGAGCCAGAGTTGAGAGGTCGTCGACTAGGAATTCTTCACTTGTGAATACCCAGTTTTAGCGCGACGGCGTCTGACTGTTTCTCCAACTTCACATTTTCGAATTATCCCAGATCATAAATGAGGTTGGAGAACCGAGCTTCAGTAGAGTTTTCACCTCCAATGTAGGTATATTCCACGAAGTTGATTCTAGGAAGATTGAAATCCCCTAGAGTCAGGATATGAGAGAATCCAAGACGCATAGAGCAGGTTAATCCTTCCAGCAAACGATAGTCATACTCGATGTCAGCAGTGGGCTTCTTGTAAATGACCCCAACTAGACACCTAGAGGTGGTAGACAATCTTACTGAGCACCATACTGATTCATCAAGATTGAGAAACTCTTGGTTGTGAAGTTGGTGCGCCTCCAGGCATGATCATATGTATCATGCTACACCGCCCTCCAGCCATTCCAGTTTTCCCGTCGTTGCGAAATAAAGACATTTCAGGTATTGCTAACTCCTGGAACGCGTGAGCTTCTCCCTGTGTGTCTATATCAGCCTTGCGAGAGTGGACAGGTAGCCTACCTATACAATGTTTATCGCGTTGGTAGTCTTTGTCCCTTACTCGCAATCAAACCTTGGATTTGGAGCTTGAAGCTTAAAAAAAGACAAAACGAACTATAAAAAAAGATGTGGTACCCAGACCATTGGGAGTTACATTTTTTGCGTTAATTACTAATACAATGAATATTGAGAACACTCGTTTAAATCGGTCGATAATGTGACTAGAATCTAAGGTTACTAAAGTTACGATTTTTATCTTTATGTATTTTCAGAGGTTGCCTCTTCAAGTGTGGCATTACAAGGTAGATACTAGTAATAAAACTCCACATTTTGGTTATTACAAGACTAATTTGAATACTTATAAGGATAAACGGTTCAGCGGTAATTCACCTTCATTTTTCAGTAAAAGTATCACAACTGAATGGAAAAGCCAGTCACGACTTGTGTTCATGAACTTTGCGAATACAGCTTTTAAATGACTGCCACACACACTGTTATGCCCAGTTACACCTGAAACAAAAACCATGAAAATAATATTGAAATTTCTCTCTAAAATATTTTGTCTTTGCATGTTTTCGTTGTAATAAAGTAATATGTATATTTAATGCTCCTTAAAAATAAATTAGTCAAATCATAAGTAAGACCCGTTTTTGGCTGTTTTTTTATCATGATCTATCACCAACTGGAAAACCATTATAATCGAAAAGCTCTGAATATCTGTTTTGTCCCAAGCTGGTTTTCAATGGGTTCACTGACTGATTTTAGTTTGTAGTAGAAAGAACTTTCCAATCATTTTGGAACTCCATACTACCACGTAAAGTAATATTGAAGATAAACCAAGCGTCTACATAATTTTCAACGTCTTATTCTTTATTCCATCTATCTATATCGATAGTTAGATTGGTTAACCATTTAAATCAACAGGTTTTTACTTCAACATGATAAGACTTTGTCTGCAAAAGGGTGGTCGAACTAGACATTCCGTTATTTATTTTGTTGCCACTTTTAGTAAGTTCTAATGATTTCAGTTAGTCATATTTTTCGTAAGATTCGTCGTTGCGAAGAATTTATACAAAAATAAACGCTGGTTTCATTGTAGCAGTATCTAAGTGAACTACTAAATGTAGTTCTATTGTACAAGTTTAAAAAAGCCAGTATATCTAAGCAAATAAACTAGTTGTTAAACATTTCGTCATGTGTTGAAAATTTTAGGTAGTCATCAGTAATCAGGTTTGTATTCTTCTAGGTTATTACAGCTATTTTGATATTAACTAGTGCTATTGAAAAAAATACAGGTAAAAAATAAGCGAAAGGTTTAAGTGAATCCATAAATTTCAGCAAAACCTAAGAGCTTGGAAGGTCTTTCTTATGTAAACAGTTCAAGGAGAACGAAGTATCCTGTAAAGTAATTTGTGTATACCCACTGTATTGATGTTAAAGAACGTATTGTGCTTTGAGGGAAAGCTGAGTATAACTCATTCCAGCCTGTTATGCGATAATTTTAGAATTTAACAGAAATGTTTGTGGACTGCTTATTGGCAGTATACTGAAAAGAAATGGTGACATTTTAGTGGTGTTTAACATGGCCTTGTAACTTAATATTTGTCTTACTGTCCTACGGTCATTTATTTTGTCATATACATTTACTCATTTCAGAGATTGGATCTTGTACATATTCAGTCTTTTCTGTTTTATTCAACATCCATTACTACATCATTGGATACTGTCTCTGTATATAGTGAAAATGGTCTACCAAAAATTATCATCCCATTGCCTTCTAGACGAGAAGCATGTTCTTTTGTTCTCAAACCATTACAACATACAGTTGGGGATTTATCAAACTTCATAAAATGTGAAGATAGTGGTGTCGATCGAATAACATTTTTTAGTAAAGGTAAGACTTTCTAATTAGTAGAAATTTTTTATTGACCACTGCAATACTTTTCTCGTTATATTTTATTGGCTTAAGTTACGTTGATAAGCTCGACTGAAGTGGTCCGTTTTGTTGTTGTTTGTATCTATCTCTGCTTCCTTCCTTTCAAATCAATAGTCTTTAACATTTTTGTATACACTAATATTTCGTTCCTTCTTACTGTTGAATCAGAAAATAACAAAATATCAATCGTTAAACTGTCGGTTTGGTATATAAAATGCAGTATAACCATCTTTACCTCGATTGTCATCAATTAGGTATACTTAACAATAAAATATAAATTTATTTATTTATTATTGATTTAAACACATAAATATTGGTACAAGGAAACACCAAATACATATGCGCCATACAAATCTCATTCGATTTGTGTGAGGGTTGTGATACTGCCCAGGTGCCCAGACTGAAGCAGGTGGTTTTCTTAGGGGCCCACACCCGGAGCCTTTGACCAAAAGATCAGATCCACAAGGCAGTGGAGCACCGTGAGGAGATGCAGTCCCATGGTAGCCAGTGACCAACAATAGGTTCATACGCCATTCGTTCCATCAGGATCCTGGAGCCCATGTGCACCATTGTTTTGGAATCAGGGTTTTCCAACTCCCCTAGGTGAACTCGCCGTGTCCACCAACCCGGTTAAAGCGCCGGACATTCGTTTTTCGTCCTCTCACTTTCGTAAACAACAGTAATGCCACGAGAAGGCAGTGAGTAGAACTTCCCTGTCAGAGGCTATATATGCACGTGGCCATGTGAGAGCATTTGGAGAGGGAGAGCTGACTCTCCCCACTCTCGGTTGTACCAGTGCATTTGCAGACTAATCCATGTATTGATTGTAAATTTGACTGATTTAGAGTTTTTAAAAGATAATGTCGGCCCAAATTGATCTCGTCAGATTTTATTAGGTAATAATTTTGAGAAGTGCTTTTGTAACACACTTTATTAAAGTCAGCTTTTTTAAGTATATGTACCTTTGCTGACGTGTGCCACGTATAAAACCTAGGAATAATTCTTTCTATTGATTACCTTCAATAACTCAATGTCTAATTTGCTGCATCGAAATTTCGATTCATGTAGATAGCTGACAGCATTTCAAATCTGTTTAGTAAGATCGAGTCATTGTAAAGAACTAGACAATACAATATTGATCACAACTGACTGACTAATTTAATGTTCATGAGTATAACTAAAAGCGATAAAGTGACGAAAACTGAAAATAATAATTTGGTGCAAACGAACTTGATGAGTGTGCTCATAGTATTCTGAAAATGAACGTAAGTTTAAGATAAATTTGGGTAGCCATTTGACTAGTCCTATTGACATAAACATAGTTTATCATCATCACACCACCTGAGATTATTATTTGTATATGTACTAGAATTGCGTTAAGCGCTTAACTAGTGTGGTAATATTTTTGAGAGGATTAAGTCCTATGTGTCACAGATTTGAATTGCAGATAATTGATTTGAAAACATATTGTTCCTGTATGTTTTTCTAGGTTGGTATTTATTTCCAAGTTGAGAAACACAAATAGAAGTACATCGATTTTCTCAGAATATGACAGCTAATGCTCTTTTTTGATGTTTAATATCGATTTAGCAAGGATTTTTGTTTTAAAGGATGTCTGAAGTGCTCAAAGTTAGTTTAGATTCCTAAGTAACCTCATTTTCAGTAGGAAATCAGTACATGTCAAAACCTATATACAATATATCTAAGTTTGAGATATTAAAGATACTTTTGAAAACTTATCAATCAAGAACATCTAAGTTATGGATTAAAGTGTTGTTAAGGTCAGAATGGTTAACTCATCACAAATTTAAAAATAACCGAACACATCGGAACAATTAAACATGTTCTTGTAATAAGTGACTTTACAAGTGAATTAGTTTTTTCACTTCTCAAGTTAAGTAAGTGTTTTATGCTAGATATGCTTTTTATTGTGATCTTCAAGTTCTCATAATTTACTAACTTTAACACTGGATTATATTTTCTACAGTTCAGTGTCATTCTCATACTCTTGCTGCATGTCACTTTGCCGTACTCGTGAAATAGTTGTAGTACGAATAAGCCTTGAATATTAATGATCGCATAGAAAAGCAGATATATAACTGGTCATTTTCGAGATCATGGGGTATTGAGTAGATTTTAATGTAACCCATAATATGCTGGAATCTTTTTTGTGTTGCACTTGGAGGACTGACAGTCAAATTCTAATAAGCGTTCATGAGATTTACAGAATCTTGTTTACTACTTCATTGTTTTACCATTACTTTATGCTTAAAATTCTCAGTGTTTAGAAACCAGGCCACGCTCTAATTGGTCCAATTTAATAAATAGTAGTTCTAGTGAGCGATGAAAAGTCACATAACACGTCTCATCTGTGAATCAACGACTGTTCGCGAATCTGACATATATGAGAGAAAGACAGAAAAACATTAGTTATAAAGCTTATAAATTTCAAATAATCGCAAATTAAAGCTAATTAGCCGGTGACCAAAAACTATGGGTATGGTATACCATTTGCATTACAGAAATGTAAGGTTATTTAAAACAGATCCTTCCATGTATCCCTTAGATAGCATAGAAAAGCCTAGTGTTTCGGAAGTATACCAAACAAGACTGGTTTTTCATGTCAAAGCTAGAAATAATTATTACGTTGTATATCATTTTTGGTCTCGTTTCGGCACTCTCTAGGGTATTAGAGTTCCAATGTGCATTATTTTAGGGTATTCTGCGGTCTAAATATTTCGATTCAGTCTTAATTCAATGGTGGCTACTTTAATCCAAGCACAAACCAATTAGTGGTCTGGGTCTGAATAATTGGTGAGTGAGAATTGAAGACCTGGGAAATGACTGAATATCAGGTGTCCTAGTCAATACTCCGTCTTATAAATTCCCCATGTTCTAACTGTCCAAAGAAAGAAGAAAGCATGATAAACTGCACATTTTTGAAAGGGATAACATTTCTTAGCCAGAATTAGGGATTCAAGCAAACTTTGAGATATGAACTACAAAAAAACGGGTGGACAAGTTCTTGAAATTTCGAATATGAAAATCAAACTAATAATTAGTGGTATGCTATGGGAATAGAATTTCTGTTATGTAGCATATCCATACTCCAATCAAAAACGTTTTGTTATGCAGTAACGAGTGTATCATCCCAGGTTAGTTGTCAGCGACTTCATATTTTAATATAAAAAAACGGATAGGAAATTGAACTAATATTTTATAGATGACGTACATACCAATTGTACTTCAAACGGTAAACTCGATTATAAATCAACGTTAACTAAATATATTAAAGCCATTCAGTACTTTTTAAAGTGTTTCCTATGATTCTGTACCACTGAATACCTCCCATACTTTCGTAGATAGGACACAAAACAACTGTGGTACCATTATTCAGTCATCAATTTCTAGTATTTTATTTTCATCTCACTAGAGAAACCGATATTCAAATTTGTCTACACAGTAGATGATCCTATATATATATCCATAGAAAGAGAATCAGTGACGTTTAGATATTATCATGTTATATTGTGCACTTCATCAGTCCTCTACATATATCCATCAGATCGGAAGTTTAACCGTTATTTTGTGCCAGCTTAGAGTTGTAAGATTTTCAGTGGTATTATAATTACTATTGCATCATGAAATAAGTGTTCTATGTCGCTTTCTAAGAGTAACCTACATTATATGTTTGTCACCATTATTTGTCTGTTAATTAGCACAGCTTTAGAAATCACGTTTATTTTTCGAAATTATAATACTGGAAATTGTGTATAATGAAATTCAATCAAAATTGATCATTGGTAATGATTGAAGGTTGACGTATTGATTTAGTTTCGATTGAAAGAAGTACTTACAAAGATTGATTTGAAATACCACTTCAAAATCAATAAAATCCATATGCTAGGTTATTAGTAAGACCGTTTTGAATATGTATAGTAAACAGAAACAAAGTACGACCCATCCCAAATATGTTTTCTCTGGTAAACCATTAGTAGTGACAGTTATTTTCAGCACGGAGTGTTATCAGCTATGGAACTACTGAAAGCCAGCTAACTCTCAAAAAATAACATTCAGTCCTGGATTATATCCGTTTAAAAGTGCTCATCCACAACTCAACATAAAGGAGATCCCAAAACCTACATGTCTCATAGAAAGTTCCATATCGTTTTTGAGGAATCATTTAGAATTCAGTGGTCCACAATTTTAAATTTTAGTCAATGTAGGATGTATTGCAACCATCATATTGTGCCATCAGTATGTAAGTTGGCTCCACAAGTTTTTGATGCATACTACTGAACAGTTGGAAACTAAAAAAATAACCTGTCAATGCTACCTGGTTCCAAAAGACACTCTACCTAGTATCGTTTCATGATTAAAATTAACTTAAAGTAATATTAAAGATCCATGTGACCACCTAAGTAAATAATATAAGCATTCTTAGAAAAAAAGGCTATATTATTCAGATGATTTTTTATTCACATGTTTACAATCTCTGAGAAAAAGTTAGGTGCTTTTTTCGAATGTATATTCTAAAATATGTCCACTTTAAACATTTGATGTTTCTCTTTGTGTTGTCGACTAAAAGCTCACAACAGATCTTAGCATTTTGTTACATTTGGGGTAACACGTTGTGACATGCCATCAAACTGCGTAAACTAACCATTCATCTTCTAGCTAAATGAGATATAAAATAAGCATGTATGTCGGACAGAAAATGCGCATATTTTGTATATTAATCCTGTTCTTACATCGATAGTTTTTCTAATGATTAAAAAATAGACATTATATTTTATGAAAAACCTACCTGGCTATATACTTTGACTATATCTTATCTTAGAGACTTAAAATTATGGTGTAGGCTACTTTTTCGCACTACAGACTAATTTAAATCAACTTGAAATTAAATTTATTGACATATATAATATATTGGTGATATTCTTTGTCTTTTTTTAGTA